GACAAAGTCTCTGAGCTCATATACCTGGGGTTTTTGTTATTGTTGTTGCTGTTTGGGGTTTTTTGTTATTGTTGTTTATTTGTTTGGGGGGGGGGGCTTTTTCTTTTGTTTTGGGGCTTTTTTTTTTTTTTTTTTTTTTTGGTTTTTTGAGCCTGTCCTGGAACTCGCTCTGTTGACCAGGCTGGCCTGGAACTCACAGAGATCCACCTGCCTCTGCCTCCCAAGTGCTGGGATTAAAGGCGTGAGCCACCACTGCCCAGCTGAGTTCCTATATCTTTAGTTGGACAGACAGACAATAGACAAATAACTGTATTGTTAAGGAATCAATCTAGGGCTAGGTAAAGTGGTGAACATCCTTAATCCCAGTAGGGGAGGCAAATGCAGGCAGATCTCTTTGAGTTCAAGGCCAACCTGGCCTACATAGAGAGTTCTAGGACAACTGGGGCCTTATTGTGAGACCCTGTCTTAAAAAAACAAAAGCAAAAACAATCTACAGGCTAGAGAGATGGCTCAGTGGTTTAGAACACTTGCTGATCTTGCAAAAGATCCAGCTTCCATTCCCAACACCCACATGGCAGCTCCCAACTGGCTATAACTTCAGTTCCAAGGGAACCTGATGCCCTCTTCTGGCCTCCTCAGGTACTGCATACATGTGGTGCACTTAAAGGCAAAACGCTCATGCACATAAAAACATGAAGAAAAGAAAAAGGAGGAGGAGAAGGGGGAGAAGGGGGAGGAGGGGAAGGAGGGGAAGGAGGGGAGGAGGGGGAGAAGGAGAGGAAGGGGAAAGGGAAGGAGAGGGGAAGGAGGAGGAGAAGGAGGAGGAGGAAGAGGAGGAGGAGGAGGAGAAGAAGAAGAAGAAGAAGAAGAAGAAGAAGAAGAAGAAGAAGAGGAAGAGGAAGAGGAAGAGGAAGAGGAAGAGGAAGAGGAAGAGGAAGAAAGAAGAAGAAGAAGAAGAAGAAGAAGAAGAAGAAGAAGAAGAAGAAAGCAAGCAATCTGCCATATGCCCTGAACATTTCAGGATGCTTCTTTCTGGATAGACCAAGAAACAAGATCCCAACAGCTTTGTGCCCAGGTCCTTGCTCAGTGTTTATCTGCAGAAATGAATCAGAAGGAATAAGGTCATGCATGTTTCCTCCTGAGCAGAAGACAGACATGTTTACCAGCCAATATAAAGCCACCCACTAGACCAGACAGTGTTGACACATGCCTTTAAATCCGACACTCAGGAGGCAGAGGCAGGTGGAGCTCTGTGAGTTTGAGGCCAGCCTGGTCTACAGTGAGTTCTAGGATAGGCAGACTGCACAGAGAAACCCTGTCCCAGGAAGAAAAAGAAAAGCTGCCTACTAGCTTCACAACATCCACAATGGCCCCCTGTGGAGTTCAGGAGTTGTAAGAAACACTAGCTACTTCTTTTAACTTGATTTGATTTTAGAGACAGGGCCTCCTGTAGCCCAGGCTGACCTCAAAATCACTACATGATAGAGGATGATCTTGAACTTCTGATCCTCCTGCCCCCACCCTCCAGTGCTGGGATCGTAGGTGTGTGCCCCCACACCCTACTTATGTCATTCTGGGGACCAGAGACAGGGCTTTGTGTCTATGAGGCAAGCACTCTGCCAAGAGAGCGACATCTCCAGCTCAGAGCGCTCCCATAAATTAAATAAAGCTACGCATCCTTTATCTCTTCCTGGGAGGGCTTGTCTTCGGGAACGTCCAGGAAACAGGAATGAGCTGGATTATTAGTTTGTAAGTAGAACAGACTCTAGAGGCTGGGAAATTGGTGACAATGACATTGAGATGAGCGCCATGGAGAAAGCAGAACAGAACCAGGAAAGGACACTAGGAAGCATGGGGGGAGGGTATTTCTTTAGGTAGAGTCATTAATAAAGCCTCTCTACTGTGAGTTCAAGGCCAGCCTGGTCTACAAAAGTGAGTTCAGGACAGCCAGAGACACACAGAGAAACCCTGTCTTGAAAGAAAAAAAGAAAAGAAAGACCCCCACCCAGGAACTATTTAGGAGGAGGAAGATTTCCGGGAGTGGGAGGGAACCAAAATACTTACATATTTCATGATTACATATTTCATTATTACATATAACTAATACATGCTAATAAAATCATTTTTTAAAAATGGGCCAGTGGGGGCTGGAGAGATGGCTCAGCTGTAAGAGCACTGACTCTTCTTCTAGAGGTCCTGAGTTCAATTCCCAGCAACCACAGGGTGGCTCACAGCCATCTATAAAGAGATCTGGTGCTCTTTTCTGGTATGCACGGAGGCAGAAGTTGTATACAAAATAAACAAATAATCTTTTAAAAAAAGAAAAGAAAATGGGCCAGTGAGGTGGCCTCATGGGTAAAGGTGTTTGCCGCTGGCTCTGACGGTGGTGGAGGGAAAGAACCAAATACCAGAGGCTGTCCTCTGAGCACCACACACCATGGCACTCGTGCCCATATGTGCACACACGGTCAATAAGCAAAATGTAAAAAATAAATAAATGCAAAGGAAATCCTCCCTCTAACTGCCCATGGTCCCTCCTGCCTGTAATCCCAGTCCTTGGAGAGGCTGTGGCAGGAAGGACTGCCCAGAGGCAAAGGCCAGCAGGCATCTCAGAGTAAAAACCTGTCTCAAAACCAAAACAAAACAAAAGCCACACAAAAGGGTGAATCCCTGTGACAGGTTGAATTTGGAGCAGAGGCATGAAGTAAGGGACAAGTTCTGACTGTTTGGGAGATTTCCTCCGGAGGGACCAAGAGGAAGAAGGACAAGGTCCTGAATAAGGACAGCCAGGGGCTGCCGGGAGGGTGGGGCTGTTTACTGAAGGGCTAAGAGCTGTTAAGTCAGGGAAGTTGTCAGGAGTCAGGATGCCTGTGTATCATGCCAGGTGTTTGCAGCACGCTGAGATGGGATTCAGGGGCTGGTTGGGATCAAGAAAGTTGCATCTTCTGATTTCTGTCTCAAAAGGACCCAGATGCTATGTGGAGAACCTTAGAGCAGGGAACAGGTGAGATGGTCCAGGTGACAGATGACAACGGCAGTCCTAATACTGCAGTGGTGGGATGTAGAGCAGAGCCAGGTGTGGTGGCGCAGCGTTTAATCCCAGCACTTGGGAGGCAGAAGCAGGTTCTCTGTGAGTTCGAGGCCAACCTGGTCTACAGAGTGAGTTCCAGGACAGCCAGGGCTACACAGAGAAATCCTGTCTCAAAAAAATAAAACAACAATGGAAGGTATTGCTAGATTACTTTCTGTTGTTTGGGGGTATCAAAGTCTTTGGGGCAAGCTTGATTTTCACCATTTGGGTGTAATGGGGGTTGTAGGCCTCTAGGGCTGATTATCTTGTTATAATCAGGGTAGGGGCTGAAAATCCTGTAACAAGTGATTAAATGTCTGATGGGAAATCTTTTGAGTCTGCTGTTGAAGAAGTCTAGACAAGAAGTTTATGAGACAGGGTGCAATTAGTGGAACTAGGAAAAGGAGGTGAAGAGGAGTTAAGAATGGCAATATGTGGGCTGGGGATATAGTTCAGTGGCAAACGCTTGCTTAGCATGCAAGAGATCCTGGGTCCTAATACAGTAAGACTCTAAAAAGAGAAAACCATTCTAGCCCAGCGGTGGTGGCACACGCCTTTAATCCCAGCACTCAGGAAACAGAGGCAGACAGATCTCTGTGAGTTCAAGGCCAACCTGGTCCACAGAATGAGTTCCAGAACAGCCAGGACTACACAGAGAAATTCTATCTTGAAAAACAAAATAAAACAAAAGGCAAATTCCAATTTCATACTGGACAGTCAACAACCCACTGGCCAGAAGCATTAAGCTGATTCTTATGATTTTGGAGATCTGTCTGGAGTTGTCAGATTTTTGTTTTTTATTATACCTGACTGGTTGACATAGAAGCATCATATCTCCTAGAGGAAGAGGCAAAGGCCACCTTTTCTCCGCTGTTAGGTCTAACCCTTGCCAATTTTCTTTAATGGTTTTCTTTTTTTTTTTTCTCCTGAAAATTAACAGAATTCTTTATTGGTTTTCAAGTGCTTTGCATAGAAAGAAAATTTTTCTTAAAGCCACACCATGACCTCCTTGTCCTGCAGAGAGCAGGTAGAGTGCCCTATCACACTGTAGAACTATTTCAGCTAATGCGTTTACCTGTTGATAGATTTGGGTCTATTTGGTTTTAATAGGTACTTCCCTTTGTAGTCCCGTAAGCATTATAGGTAGCCATTTTGTCCCCTCTGCCAGGGGGTTTCCTTTTGACCTAACATTCCAGCCTTTTATAGAGGAGACATGCTCTCTTCTGTATCTACTTCCTGATGAAATTAGGGCCCTCTTGTCAGGGCCCAGGGAGGCTGGAATGTTAGTCAGTGGCCAGGAGGGGACTCAGGCAATGGGGCATTCAACAGCAGCAGCATCTGGTTCCCTGACCCAGCTGGAGAGACTGGGAGCAGTCACGTCATGTTTCGGCAAGACCAGGGCCCGAAGCCAGTAGGAAGTTTATAGTCCACAGCTGATTCCTGGATGGCGTCTGTCAGTCAAGCGGGAATCTGCTGAGACAGAGGCTAAAGAGAGAAGTTTAGGAACTTAAAGAAAAACCATACGTTGGAACTTTCTGGTAATTGGGGGAAGGGAGGGGTCCCAAGACTAGATGAGAGAGAAATCACACGCTCAGGAATAGGCAGGTAGGGAATAGGCTGTATCAGGAGAGATGGCTCAACCGTTCAGAGCACTGGCTGTTCTTCGGGAGGACCCAGGTTGGATTCGGAACACCCACGTGGCAGCTCAGGACGTCTGTAAACTCGTTTCAATTAAATTGAAAACTTCAAAAATATATATAATGAACTAAATATTTTTTTTTTTTTAAAGAGGAGGATGGTAGTGGCCGGAGTGATGGCTCAGCAATTAAGAGCACGTACTGCTCCTGAGGGGCAGGCAGAGAGGCGGCGGTTTCTTTTAGAATGCGGGCAGGCAGAGACCCGCCCAGACGTTCAAGCCCCGCCCCGCCCACTGGAGGCGGGACTCCGGGAGGTTTGAAAGCGCGGCGCGCTGAGCTGGGTGGCTCGGCTGCCGCTGAGATGTCGGTGTTGAGGCCGATGGACAAGCTGCCCGACCTGAACCGGGCCACCATCTTGGTAGGTACGGAAGGCGCCCTGGGCCGGCTTCCCGCAAGCCCGGGCCCTTGCGCTTCCTCAAGCCACAGCGCGCCTGTCCGGGGTGGGCGGGCTCACTACTCTGGACCAATCGGAGCGGCGGCTCGCGAAACTGAATAGCGCCTCCACCAATGGGCGCGCGGCTGGCTCTGCCGCATGCTTGAGTGGGCGTTTCAGTTCGAACTTGGGTTTCCCGCGTTCGGTGGGAGAGGCCGAGCGGTTCCTTGGAGTGTCGCTTGCCCGGTTCCCCCTGGAGCCGCCTCTGGCTGGGTGTATACCCTCATGGGGGATTCAAAGCGCCGGGCCCTCCAGCGGAGCCGCCCTGCTTGGGTCTCCACCTGTCTGGTCCTCTCCCTTCGCAGCTGGTGGGCACGGAGGATGCGCTTCTGCAGCAGCTCGCAGAGTCCATGCTCAAAGACGACTGTGCTTCCGAGCTGAGGGTGTAAGTTGCGTTGGTGCAGTCTGAACTCTGGGCTGGCCTGCGGGGAAGGGAAGGGAAGGGAGCCTGCGGGAGAGGACCTAACTCCTCCCAGATACCACCTGTCCTCCCTCGTCCTGCCCACCCTGGCGGAACTGACTTTTTACAAGTCTCTGCAAATGTTCATGACCCATACACAACGCCAAAAGACCACTTACCCACTGGATTTCTGGGTCGTCAGCACCTAAAAACAAAGCAGAGGTCTGTGCCTTGGTTTCGCTTCCTTTTGCTGTGTAAGATACTCTGACGAAAGCAACTCAAGGGATAAGAGATGCTTGGCTCGCAGTGCCAGGTTCCAGCCCTTGGTGGCTGGAGAAGCTGGCGCTGCGGGAACTTGAAGCAGTCAGTGACATCATATCCACAGTCAAGAGGAAAGCATACATGCTAGTACTTAGGTTGCTTTCTTCTTAGACAATCCGGTCCCCTCCCAGAAAATGGTGCCTCCTGTAGTGGGCTCAACTACTTAGAATGTTAGAGGCCGCACCTGACCATGTCTTGGGGGGAAATGACAACATTTTTAAAAATGTTATACTTTTGGTCTGGGAAGAACTGGTTGTGTCCCACGTCAGTGCTGGACTCCTGAGGCAGCTCCTTCCTCCTAGGACGGTACCTGAGCAGTCGCTGTGAGGTGGCTACGCCTGTTGTTTTCAGTCCTGCCCTTCTTGTTTTTCAGCCACATGGCCAACTTCCTCCCTTTGCCCTCTGACGTGAACCGGCCCCGAATTGACCTGATTGTGTTTGTGATTAACCTTCACAGCAAACACAGGTGAGAGCCAGGACAGGCCTCTGGAGGACCTGGCTTGGCCACTGAGGGAACTGTAACCACGTGATGGGAAGGCGGGGCCCTGAGAGGCTGCCTGGGGTGAGGAGGGAGGGCTACAGGGTTTGAAAGAGGAACCAAGACCTGTTCGTTAGCATCTCCACGCCTAGTGCCTAAGGGGACCAAAAGAGAGCTTTGTACCCCCTGCTGTTAGAGTCTGTGGTGAGCTGCCCTGTGGGTTCTGGCAAACTCAAGTCCTCTGGAAGAGAGTCAGGGCGCTTAACTTTGCACGCCTACACTTCATGCCCTGTTTCCTGTTTATCTTGTTTGTAGTGCTGTGAACCAGTGCTCCGCTGAGGTTTTTTACACTGGGGGTTGTTATGCCCAGATCATTTATAAACGGGGTGTGACCTGAGACCGGTCCCACTAGGGGGACGTGGGCGTGGGGAGGTTGGGAGTGGGCGGGCTTGTCTCTTCAAGGAACAGGGTACCCAGCTGACAGTCCAAGCCAGCAGATTGCAATCGAGTCACCCCCAAACCAACTAGGAGAACGAGTCCTGTATGTAAAAGCAAAGGGCCTTTATTCCTACACAAGTTTGCAAACTCGAATTCTCCATGTGTTCAACGTATCGGAGAGCCCCGAGCTCAGCTGGGGTTGGTTTTTATAATAGCAGAGGTTGGGGTGAGGGATTGCTAAGGTTCAGGACCCCTGATTAGCTGACATTTGTCTAGGGGTGTCCTGGTGACAAGCGATGGGTGTGTGCTGGCAGGTGATCCTATCTACAATGGTTGGAATAGTAAGAATGTTCTTTGGACAGTCTGTTCCCAGGTGGTGTCAGTTTGTGGTCTTTCTTGGAACCAGGTATTGGGACCTCTGTGGAGCTTGTCAGGGCTGGGTTCTACAGGGGTTAAATTTCAGCACATGACCTGTTAGCGACTAAACCCTATCAAAACTACAGCAGTCAGGAGTTGATAGTATGCAGGACAGTATTTGAGAAAAACAGCAGGTATTTGCAGAGAAAATTCCTAGAAGAATTACACCCCAAACTGTTGGCAGCAGTTTCCTCTGGAGAGTTGGCAGCCAAGAATCCTCAATGAAAAGGACTCTTAAAGTGTGTGCGTGTGTGTGTACACAATATTTACTGCCTGATTATTTCATAAGCAATTATAAGCATTCATCAATTTCTCTATAAGTAAAAGTAAATTTTCAAACGGTATGGGCTGGGCAGGTGGCTCAGTGGTTATGAAAGTTTGGTTTCCAGCACTCACAATAGGAGGTTCACAATCTATAACTTCAGCTCGGGGGATCCAATGCATCTGGCCTCCAGACACCAGCACTCCTGTACACCTAAATTCACGCAAGCACTGATCAACACATAGTTTAAAATAATAATAATAATAATAAAACCTTTGAAAAAATAAACAGACAGGAAAATCCCAACATTTGGGACGTGGAGACAGGAAGATCAGAAGTTCAAGGTCATCTTCAGGGCAGCCTGAACTATGTGAGATCTTGACTCAAAAGGGTAAGGTAGACAGCAAGATGGCTTAATCACCCGAGTTCAACCCCAGTTCTGACCCACGCAAGTACTTCACGCTACCTTCCATGGATGTGTGTGCATGCACACACACAATGAATAAATATCAAAAAATAACCCAGGTTTTAGCTAGGCATAATATTGTATATCATGATCCCAGCACTCAGAATGCTGAGGCAGGAGGATCAAGAGATAGACGCCAGCTTGAGCTACAATAATGGCATCCTATCTCAAAAAACAACATGGGGGGAAATGTTGAGACAGAGTTCTCTAAGTAGCCTCGAATGTCCTGGAACTCTAGATCAGGCTGGCTTCAAAGTTAGAGACTTTGCCTGCCTCTGTCTCCGGAGTGGTAGTATTAGAGGCATACCCAAGCAGGGCTGTGTTGTAAAATTCTGTCTTATGTTTGTTTTTTTTTCTTTTTCTTGCTTGGCCTTGTGTCCCAGCTTCCAGAAGATAGAGGAATCTCTGAAGCACGTGGACAGTCGCTTCTTCCTAGGGAAAGTCTGCTTCCTCGCCACAGGGGGTAAGTGTGGGCCCCTTCTGCTCACCTCTACCCCAGCTGGAGCGTTAGAGTAATCACAGTTGTGGCCCCTTGCTATGGCGGCCTGCAGAGAGATTCTCCTTACCCACCTGCTGTCTGAGGAGGTCCAAAGAGGACATGGGATCTTCTAGAGCTGGAGTTACAGTTACAGATGGTTGTGAGCCACCGTGGGTGCTGGGAATTGAACCCAGGTCGTCTGGAAGAGCAGTCATTGCTCTTAACTGCTGAGCCATCTCCGACCTCCATTTTAGAATGTACTCTGAGACAGGGTCTCACTGTGTAGCTCTGACTATCCTGGAACTCACTATGTAGATGAGTCTGGCCTCAAACTCACAGAGATGCCCCTGCCTCCTAAGTGCTGGGATTAAAGGCTAAAGATGTGCAGTACCATGCCGGGCACAGCTGACCTTCTAACTCGATCCAGGTAGCTAATTATGCCCTTACTTGGAATTCCTTGCTGACTCCTCTGGCTTTCAGAGTGAATTTCAAATCCTCTGAAAATACAAAGTAAACTGGAAGTGGCACAGACCTATAATCTCAACATGCTGGATGCTGCTAACACACGAGGGTCAGGAATTTGAGGACAGCACACAGGGGATTACTGAAAGTCCAAGGCCAGCTGACAGCCTGGTGAGATCAAGCCTCAAGGATTTTGCAGTTGGCCTCTGCGTCTAGCCTAACTCCCTTTCCTCTCATCCTTTGGGTCAGCTGCAGTTCTCTGAACAAAGTCCTGCTGATCCTGAGACGAGGCAGTCTTACTGGTAATCATGGGCTCTCACAGCACACCACTCTGGTTTCTCATCCCAGAGGTCTTTGAGTGGGCACTGCCTCAGATTTACGCCTGAGAGGACTGGGCATAAGGTTAAGTGACTTGCCCCGGGCACTATAGCTCCACAGTGGAGAGCAGAGGTTCACAGTCCTGCTTTACATTTTGAGACAGGGACTCACTGTGTAGCTCAGGAGGTGGAGACAGAGGCAGGTGGGTCTCTGGCAGATGTAGCCTGCAATGTGCCTGGCTTCTTTGCAGCTGGACGGGAGAGCCACTGCAGCGTTCACCGGAGCACTGTCGTAAAGCTGGCCCTCACCTACCGAAGCCCCTTGCTCTTCTGTGACTTAGAGGTGAGAGCCCTGTCGTTGTGGTCAGTTTTATACTTCAGTACAAGGAAAGGGCAGTGAAAACACATTGGGAATGCTTACTGAAGGGTCAGCAGGTGTCCAGGTAAGTCGTGTGTGTGTGTGTGTGTGTGTGTGTGTGTGTGTGTGTGTGTTTGAAAGTCCCTGTTAATATTGCCCTCTCCTGCTAGGGTATAAGTACTTATGAAGTGTCATGTCTAATTGACCTCGTGCCTGTTATTCTGACTGTTAAGAGTACCTGATGTCATCTACCCTCCATGGACTACAGTCTGTGGTGTCACAGGGCTTTTGTAGGTGTGCTCCCCAGGTGAGCCCTGTCTAGCCATAACAAAGCAGGTATACGTTTTCTCTCTCTTTGGTTTTTCAAGGTAGGGTTTCTCTGTAGATTTGGAGCCTGTCTTGGAACTCAACTCTGTAAACCAGGCTGGCCTCGAACTCACAGAGATCTGCCTGTCTCCGCTACCCAAGTGCTAGGATTAAAAGCGTGTGCCACCACCACCTGGCTCTTTTTTTCTTTTTTTTCATGATGTTTATTGGTGTTTTGCCATGTGTGTCGGGTCCCTTAGAACTAGAATTGTGGACAGTTGTGAGCTGCCGTGTGGGTGCTTGGAATTGAACCCGGGTCCTCTGGAAGAGCGGTCAGTGCTCTACTGAGTCATCTCTCCAGCCCTGCTTTTTCTCCTTTTGTTCTGTGTTTGCGCTGTGTGCATATGTAGGGGGAGGGATCGTGTACCTGCGCATTCCCCGAAGCCAGAGAAGGGTGTCAGGTGTCCTTCTCTCACACTGCCGAGTTCCCTTGAGCAGGGTTTTTGCTGAATCTGGAACTAGACTGGTGGCTGTCAAGCCCCAGCAGTGTCCTGCCTCTGCCCACAGCACTAGAGTTACTGGCACCTGCAGCCGCGTACAGCTTTTGACATGGCTGCTAGGATCAGAGCGCATGCTTGTTGAGCATCACCCACCACGCCAGCTCTGGAGCCCCAGAAGTGCATTTGCATTGGCAGGTGTTGTTCAGCAGGAGTTAGTGTACGCTCCCTGGGAGAATTACCAAACGTTCTCTGGACCCAGGCTGCCCCACCTACATACCCGGCCTGCTCAGGACAAAATCCAACACATCCTGTGGCCAGGGTTTTCTGTTATTTGGTCTGTGAACTGTGCCCGTGATAGCAGAATTCAGGTTATCTATGAATTTGGATGAGCAGTAGAACTTGTCTGCTCCCCACAGCATCATACAACCTTCTAGGTGGAGCTGAGCTCATGAGTTAGCCAAGAGTGTTAATGGGAATAGCTAAGTTAGCAGTTACCAACAGACATAGCGTGTTGGAGCTGTAATGCTGGCTTATTAGTCAAGAGCTTTTGCTATTCTTGCAGAGGACCTGGTTTGATCTCAGCATCTACGTAGCAGCTCACAACTGTCTATAACTTGGCCTTCTCGGGCACCAGGCACACACACATACATGCAGGCAGAACACCCCTACACAGAGGTATTGATTTACATGTTAGCAACTCATCACTGCTGTGCTCTGGTTGCTAAACTGCCCCAAGACTGAAACATGGATCAGGGTATACATGCCATTCATTACACATCAGTCTTTCTTGTTAACAATTGTTTTCAGAAGTCTTGACTAGATCCAGGCTGTGCTCTCAGAGGTGACGACACCCTGTACCCTGGCACATCCGAAGTGTCTCCAGGTTTTCCTCATAACAAACTCCTGAGAAAACACTCCAGAAAGAGTCACCTCGCTCAGTCACACAGTAAGGTAAAGCCAGCCGGTTAGTGTGCGGCTGTCCCCCCATTGAGGCCTGCTGACCATGTGGCTTTGCGTGAGTCACCTTAGATCTGTTTCTCCGTAGTTTTATGATCGCTTACTGAAGAATCATCTTTACCAGTCTGGCGGTGGTGGCGCACACCTTTAATCCCAGCACTCAGGAAACAGAGGCAGGTGGATCTCTGTGAGTTCTACAGAGTGAGTTCCAGAACAGGCTTCAAAGCTACAAAGAAACCCTGTCTTCGAAAATTGGGGTGGGGGGGTGTGTGTGGAGAGGAACGGGACGACTTTTGTAACGCAGGTGCAGGTGGTGGTTGTGGTGCCTGCTAACCCTGTGACAGGTGCTCTTGCTGTTCCGCATGTGGCCATGTGGTGGCAGGCCACACCAGTTTTTGAGTTTTTACAGCCCTCGAGGCCTAGACTAGAACAGCAATGCGGTTCAGCGGGTGAAGGCACTGCTCTCAGCCTGAGTTCTGTCCCTGGGCCCCACAGGTAAGGAGAGAATGGATTCCTTGCAAATTGACCTCTGACCTTCATGCGTGGGTGTACACATACACACATTCTCTCTCTAAATGTGGTTTTGAAGGAAAGTCACGGGGCCAGCTGTGGAGAGGAAAGCAAAAGCTGCAGTCTCGTCTTCAGCTGGCAGCAAGGCCACAGATACCTGCCCAGAACATGTGCCTTGGGGGGCCCACGTGTCTGGGTTGTCCTTTTCAGAGCATACCTACTGTCTTAACAAGTTGGAACCTCAACATATTTGGATGCCTTTGTGTGACGGAGAGTTGCTAGCTCTCTTTTAGACTGGGAAACACACTTGGACGATACTTCTCAACCTGTGGGTCGAGACCCCTTTGGGGTCACATATCTGATATCCTGCATATCAGATATTTACGTTAAGATTCCTAACAGTGTCAAAATTAGAGTTATGAAGTAGCAACAAAATAATGTTATGGTTGGGGTCACTGCAGCATGAGGGCTGTATTAAAGGGTCGCAGCACTAGGGGGCTTGAGCAGCTAGGATAGGTGCGACTCGCCCAGTGGCACTGTCTACCTCAGGGCCGTGCTAGTGCTCGGGGACACAAAGCAAACACCGGCTTGTCTTTTCAGACGTTAGTGAAGTGCTTGGCAGCCCGGCAGAGTGTGTCTTCCCGTGGGCATGGGCCGTCATAACTGCGATCAGAATGGTGTTGGGGGTGTCTCCATGTGGAGCTTGAGTGGCAAGAGACATCTGTGGCGCTCAGACTAGAGCAGCGGTAGATTGGAGATAGAGACCTTCGAGGAGGGGGATTCAAAATACCTCTCGCATATACAGTGTGCCCAGCACCATTGCTGGCATTGGAGACACCGCACAGAACAAAATAGTGAAGTTTATATAGAGACCCTGGCTGTGTGCTAGTCAGGAGCACACACAGGCCACTCTGCTTGTTTGTTTGCTGTGTTAAAAAGAATGGCTGGAGCCGGGCGGTGTTTCTGCACACCGTTAGTTCCAGCACTACAGAGGCAGAGGCAGGCGGATCTCTGAGTTTGAGGCCAGCCTGGTTTACAGAGAAAGTTCTAGGACAGCCAAGGCTACACAGAGAAACCCTGTCTGGAGAGAGAGAGAGAGAGAATTTGACTGGGGTGTGAGGGATGGGAGCTTGGGGTGTAGCTGTGTGGGTACTGAAGGGGAGAGCTCGTGTCTCTAGCCGAACACTGGGAGGGCAGAGCAGTGGGAAGTGCCAGTAGTGATGGGGTCATCAAGTCAGTAAAGGCTGTGCCTTTTACTCCAGATACAGCTGGGGTTGCTGGAAGCTTGTGGTCTGGGAGGTGGGGGGCGGGATGTGGCTCTGCTCTGACTCTGTGAGTGGGGCAGAAATGAGGACAGAGTTCAGAGATTTTTTTGGAAGGGTTGAGTGGCCTGGGTTCAGTGATGTCCAGGAAGAGTGACATGGGATGGTCCATAGTCCTTGCTGTTTCCTGGACAGTCAACAGAATGTGCTAGTGGCCAGATGTGAGGTGACAGGAAGACCGGTAGGATGGTCCTGCCTCTAGAGATGAGCACAGTTGTGGGAGCAGTCAGTGACCAGCCAACAGTGCCCGAGGCCACTTGTTGGAGCACTTGCTGTTCGCAAGGCAAATGCTTGTAAGCACTTCTTACTTGCCCAGAACTCACTCTGTCAGGACAGCTGCACAACCCCCGGCTTCCCTGGACCCAATAAAGGACACGTGGGTATGAGTCACACACTCTTATCTGTGTCGAGGGCCACTCTCTCCATCCTCCCTATTGTCCCTGTGTCTTCCTAGGGTGCCTGGGACTAGCCACTGTTGAGGTCCCGGCTCTGCAGTCACGCCTCTGTGACCCTGGACTGTATTTGACCGTATCAGGTTTTTTGTTTGTTTGCTTGGTTGATTTGTCAAGACATTACATTGTTTCTCTATGTAACCCTGGCCATCCTGGAACTCACTCTGTAGACCAGGCTGGCCTCAAACTCAAGAGATCCGCCTGCCTCTGCGTCCTGAGTGCTGGGATTAAAGGCGTGCGCCACCATCGCCAACCAGTCTTGTCAATCCCCTATTTCTTCTTGATCGGGACTCACGGTCTCTGGGTGTCTCTAGGTTTTAAAAGCTACCCGGTTGGGTATGGCACAATCATGGGGTATCCCTGCATCTCACCCCCCAGCTTTGCCTTGGCCAGCCACCCCCTCACTGCTGTTCTTTGCTCTTCCCTGAAGGTGGAGAGCTTTCGAGCCACCATGGCCCAGCGCCTGGTACGCATGCTGCAGATCTGTGCTGGCCACGTGCCCCGTGTCTCAGCGCTGAACCTGCTGTCTTTGCTGAGGAGCTCCGACAGCCCCCCATCCAAGGAGTCGTGAGCACTGCTGCCCTCCCCACGTTTGACTCTAGCTCCGTAAGCAATCACTGTTGGTGAAGACCAGTCAGGGCCTGGCAGGCCTGGGAGGCAGCCTGCTCACTGCAGGGCTGAGTGAGCTCTGCTCCACCCAGCAGTGCAGTGCTGGGCAGGAATGGGGAAGGGAGCCCCGTGGTTGGAATCCCATGCCTCCCAACTTACCCCACAGAGGCCCATATCTTCACCTGTCTGGTGGGCTGCATCCACTGAAGATTTCTTTGGAATAAAGAGCCATGACTTAAAAAAAAAAAAAACCTGAAAATCTGTCTCATCCACCATTTGACTTTGTAAATGAGGAAACTGACTCAGTGCAATTAAGGGGAGAGCGTGGCTTCCAGGATCCCAGAGAAGTGTCACGTGCTGGCCCTGCTTCTTGTAACCCGGCCGTTGCTCCTGGGAACTGTTTCCTGGTGTAAATGGTATGGTTGGTTCTCGTGTCATGTTGAGGGAATTAAATGACATGGGAGGTGGCATGCTGCCTGCGACTGCGTTACTCCTGCAACTTGTCTGTTTGTCTGGCAGATCGGCATGCCCTGTACAGCAGCAACAAGGTATTCAGCAAACAGTCATGTAAAACCAGACCAGCAAGGTCAGTGTGAGAAGCAAGAGGCCCATGCACACTCCACTTCAGATGCAGGGGAAGTTCGCACAAGAGCCAGGTTGGACTGGGGAAGTTCTGTTAGCCAAGATTCCCAGTGCTACAGGAGTGGGCTTAGCTCATGGGGGTCTTGGGGGAGATCTGTTGAGCACAGAAGGCTTCCATCAATAGTGGCAGGGACAGCCTCTGCTTGGATGTCACAGGGACTGTAGCTACCTTCAGAACAGCCCAAAGGCCTGCCCCTAGAATGAAGAGTTAGACATACTTCTCTGTTTTTTTTTTTTTTGTTATTGTTGGGTTTTTTGTGCCTTGGGGCTTTTGTTTGTTTTTGAGACAGGGTTTCTGTGTGTGTAGTAAACTCACTCTGTAGAAGAGGCTGGCCTTGAACTCAGATCACCTGCCTCTGCCTCCCCAGTGCTGGGATTAAAGGTGGGAACCACCCGACCTAGCTAGACTAGATTTCTGACTTGATGGCCCCTGGGTCCCAGTGGGGGGGTGGGGGAGATTAGCTCTGTAGAACCCTGTGAGGTCACGCGTGTCATGTGACGCTTGCAGAACCCTTCACGCTTCCCTTCACAGCGTTCTGCTCACAGGGCAGCAGCTCCTGTGGACCTCCCAGCATGCCTCAGGGTTGCTGGTTCCCTGTGTCAGGGTTCCTGAGACAGACTTCACTGAAGGCGTGCCCGTAATCATAGCCAATGGATGGCAGGCCCCGGTTCTGTGTGACTCAACAAAAGCGTGGCACCTCCCCTGGGAGGGCCTGAGAAAGCAGCAGTCTTCAGGGCGTTGTTCCCAGACCCTTTAGTGCCCTGACCCCGAGTCGGGTGGGAGAGTGAGGCACCTGAACTAGAGGAAGGCAGCACGGGCACGCCTCCTGTTTGTGTCCCCTGCTTTGCCCTCACCCTCGCCTAGGCGCACGATGTGCACACCTCTCCCTCAGGTCTCTGCCACTTTTTCTTTGCCACCTGGTGCCATTTAACAAGAGAAGTGGCATCACATTCTCCAGTGAGAGCCTGGGAGCCTTCCAAGTGCCGGGGGAGCTTGAGGCTGTCACTGCTGCCAGATCCCTGCCAAGCTTGGCAGGGACCCTGGAACTAGAGGCGCCTCTCTGGGGTTTGGGCTGGCCTGCCCCTGCTGCACAGCAGGGCTGAGTGACACTTTAATGGCAGTCAGGTGCCCTCACTTACCTTACCGAAGCCAGCAGGGAGCGGCTGCTCCTGACAGTGGGTCTGACTGAGGGCATGGGGACCAGGCTTGGTGCTGAGGCGGAATACTTGGGCAACTCAAAGGCTCGGTTGAATCTGGAAGCTGTCAGATGCTTGCGACCTGAATCAGGACTAAGATCCTCAGGGAGAGCTTGCTTTGCATCACAGGTTACCTGGTATGGGCAGTTCTTATACCCCTCCTGGAAGCTCAGTTCTCTGCAGGAGGGCGCTGACCCAAGTGTGGCAGAAGTCCCATGGTACCTCTCGTCCCTGCCTAAGTAGTGGTGGCCGGCCATTCCTATAGAGGAAAGGAAACTGCAGAATGGCACCGAGGATCCTCCACCCAGCTGGGTGTGGCTCACTTTTGTAGCCAGCAGAGGTGGGAAGAGCAGTGTTTTTTCGGGCCAGCCTGGGCTACAACGTAAGACCAGTCCATGCAAGGGGGAAGCAGATGGGGTGGTCTGTGGGGTAAAAGCGTTTGCCGTGTGAGCTTGACTTCCATGTAAAAGCAGGAGAGTGTACATTATAACTTATCCTCTGTCCTCACATGTGATATTCCTGTTTTATAAGGGGTGGGTGTGGTTCAGTAGGTAGTGTTTGCCTATCCTCCCTGAAGCCACAGGTCAGTCCGTAGCACCACGTGCAGGCACAATGGTTCAAACCAAGTTCAAAGTCATCTTTAGCTACACAGTACATTTGAGGTCAGTCTGGGCTATGCTAGACCCCATCTAAAACAAGCCAGGGCCAGCAAGGCAGGATGGCTCAGCTGGGGAGATTTGCTGCCAACCCTGATGACCTGAATTTCATCTCCAGAACTTAGTCCTGCAAGTTGTCCCTTGACCTCCATGTGTGTGTGTGTATACCTCCCCAATGTCATTTATAAAAATAAAGCAAAACGAAACACTTCACCCTGCCCCCAAGAACAGAGGCCTGAGCTCCGTGGCCACGGAGGAAGTAGTGAAGTGGGAAAGGACCAGGCCCGAGAGTCTCACCACCGGGTCCTGTGACGTGGGTCAGCTTGCTTTCCTGTTCTGAGCCCCACAGCTCTGCCCCTTGGGGTTCTCGTGGCTGGAAACAAAAGCTTGGTCCTCGGCGGCCCTGCCCCTTCCTCCGCAGGTATGTGTGTGCCTGCAGGTGCCCGGCACATGCTATGTTTGCCGGCGTGGAGGTGGGCATCTTCCAGATGGCGTCCTCGGTTATTCTCCACACTATTTCCGAGTCAGTGTCTCTCACAGAACCTGAAGTAAATTTTAAAGACGAGCAAACCCCTCGTTCCCTGGTACCCTCCTTGAGGTTTTTCTCCAAGCCCTTCTCATTCTTCACCTACTAGACTGGTTCCTTGCTGGAGTTTGGCTCTGCCTGTCGCTGCTCCTGAACTTGGTGGAGCCTGGTAAGGAGTCAGCACTTGCTGGATGGTGAGACAGCCCTGTGTAGGGCTGGCAGGAGGCCCGGAGCCGCTCCCATTCTTCCTCCACCTCATGGCCTCACTGTCCCAGGCACAACTGCCCACTGGCCTCCGGACAGGACTTTACTCCTGCAGCCAAGAATCTGAAGATCAGTGGTTTCTTATCTCACACTGAAGGCCCTGGGCCACACCAAGGCCATTTTTTTTCCTCGAGACAGGGTTTCTCTGTAGCTTTGGAGCCTGTCCTGGAACTAGCTCTTGTAGACCAGTCTGGCCTCGAACTCACAGAGATCCGCCTGCCTCTGCCTCCGGAGTGCTGGGATTAAAGTCACACCACTGCCTGGCGCCAAGGCCATTCTTAAAGAATGGCAGAGCAGGAGCCCTGTCGTGACAGTGTGCAAGTGTGTGCACAGTGGGTGTGTAAGGAGAGGGCTGGGCTGTGAAGTGAGTGGCGGGCACACACAGCTTTGAGGGAGGGCGTGGCCTGTCGTTGATAGGCTTGGATTCCCAGGAGAGAGGATAGGGACCACCCTGACCACTGTTCTGCTTGCGACCCGGTTTCTCAGGCCTGCAGACTCTACTGATCCCCCCCATGCCCACCCCTCTTCAGTGAACAGAAAACCTGACATTGTCCTTTGTCCCCACCGCAGGGAACTTTCCAACAGTGTCTCAAGGGGTGAGGGGGCAAGGGAGCCTCTACTTTGAGACAGACACTGAGAAAATGGGGTGGAGTTGAGAGGGTGGACATGAAGTTCCCGAGCCAACTCAGGGTGACTGGGAAGGCCCCAAGACAATCCATGTTATGACTCATGTTTCGAAGAAAAAAAAAAAAAACAAAAACACCTTTGCCTGTGTGGACCTGAGGCTGTGAGAACAGTGTTCAGAGCAAGGGGGCTGAGAATGGGTACCCTGGCCTGCTTACAGCTAAAACTGACGCTGGTGTTTGAGAATATCCCAGGTCTCAGAACAGTTTCACATCCAGTTGGGGGGCGCTGGGCCTCTTTGTCCCCAGGGGCCGCCTCCCCCACCCCCATCACACTGGGCTTGCCCCATAGATACAGTGGGCTTACTTCCCTGACCATCTCTGAAGCATGAAGAACTTGGGCCATACTTCACACTCAGGTGGGTGCAGACTCCATCCTGGCCTTCATTCCTGCTGGCTCATCCTCTGAGAGCCTCCTTCCTCTGTCTTCACCTAGTGCTGTTTGGGAAAATTTTCAGAGCAAGAATTCCTCACCACACTCCACCCCCAAATGAATCACCTTTTTTATTTTTTTTAAGAGCAGTTGGGCACGGTGTCAGGAACTTTAATCCTGCCCTCAGGAGAAGCAGAGAAGCAGGCAGATCTCTCAGAGGCCTCTGATGTGGGCCTGGTGGTCTACTCAACCCTATGAGTTCAAGGTCATCCTTAGCTATGCAGTGAGTTTGAAGCCAGCATTTAGCAAATGAAAAGGTTGGGATCAGTAAGACAAAAACTTGGAGTTTCAGCCACAAAGTCCCTCATTTTATAGTCAAGAATATATCCATGCACACACACACACAGAGGCTGGCACGGGGTTCTTGCTTCGTGAACCTGACTCCTGAGATAGCCTCTGACATCACTGTGGCATGTGTGTGCCTCCACTCATGCATTGTGGTGGTTTGAAAGAAAATGACTCCCAGAAGGAGTGACACCATTAGGAGGTGTGGCCTTTTTGGAGGAAGAATGTCACTGGGGTGGGCTTTGAGGCCTCATATGCTCAAGCCACTCCCAGTGTCTCAGACTACTTCCTGTTGCCTGTGGAACAAGATATAGCTCCTTGTCCACTCTCAGCTCGTCCTCCAGCACTGTGTCTGCATGTATCCTGCCCTAATGATAGTAGACTGAACCCCTGAAAGGGTGAGCCACCCCATGAAATGTTTACCTTTATAAGACCTGCTGTGGTTATGGTGTCTCTTCATAGTGATAGAAACCCTGACTTAAGACATCATACACACAACTAATAAAACCAAAAAAATTGGGGATTTTTTTTTAGTCTTGTGTAAACCAGTCTTGCCTTGAACCCCTGATCCTCCTGCCCCACCCTACCTCCTGCCTCACTCAGCCCTAGGGGAAAATAAAAATGCATTCAAGTCATAACAGATTGCTTAAAGTAAAAATTGTTTTTTGTTGTTTAAGGGTTAGGAGGTTGGGCTGATGAGATGTGTCTTTAGGCCCAGCTGCTCAGGAGGCAGAAGCAGGAA